TAAAATCCATAAAAAGCACTTAGCACAGAATATGGCACTTAGCAAGCACTTAATAAATACACAGCTTTACTATTAAAGTAGGTAAAGCACGAATTTATTGAAGACCCATTTGAGAAGATGAACTTTAACAAATATTATAAAATATCATAAAAATAAGAATACTCTGAACAAACATATAAGGGACAGTTCTAAACCTTTAAAATTTGATGCAACTTTTATATTAAAATTCATCTACTTTTTTGAACAATGGGAAAATACTCCTGGGGGAAAAAACTCAAAGGATAAGATAATTTTAGAATCCATTTGTTCACTTATCAGATGATAATTTTAGGAAATTGCAGAAGCTTAAGAAGCAATAACTAAGATTATTCCATAGTTAATTTAGAGTAATAAATCTACAATCTTTAAAGTTATATTTTTTGATCCAGAAATTATAGTCCTAGGAATTTCTCTGAAGTAATAACCAGAAATGTATTGGAAGATTTATTAGAAAAGATCATAATCATAACACTGTTTATTATAATTTAAAAATAAGTAACATTGTTTATAATAATTTAGAAATAAATATTTCCAATTTGTCATAATACATTCATATGTAGGATATAAATATGATGGAGTCCACACAGCCATTAATTAATGTATTTTCTAACTATATTGAGTTATGCAAGAAAATAAATATGACATAATGCTAGGAGAAAAAAAGGACACAAACTATATGTATAGTCAACATAGCTTGTAAATAAAATATGCACAACTACTTAACTATGTAAACTTGTGTGAAAAAACAAACTCTTAGGAAATAAACCATTACAGAATACACCTAAATATTAGTTGCATGCATCACAGGACAGAAAAAAAAAATGTTTTTTTGTTTAGTTCCCCATGCTTTATTATATCTCAGATTTTCACCAATATGTAGGTATTTTATGCTGTTTTTTTTCTAATTATGATTTATTTGTATACTTTATCCCTTTTTTTCATTATCACAGGCAAAAATTTAGAAGTATTTAATGTGTATCTTTTATCTGCTTTTGAAATGTATTATTATTCTGTGCACCTATATTTTTAATTCATTTCAATGTTACTTTTATGCATTCAACTCTGCTGCTATACACATACTGAATATATTTTTCTAACTGTAGACTTGTATTCCATAATGGGCACTCACCACATTTTAACTATCTGCTCTTCCAAGGTGAAGCAATATGATTAGCGCCAGATCACTTTAACTCAGCCTAGGATTGGTATGATTCAAAGTTGGATAGAAGTATTTGCAAGGGCTGGAGTATTTCTGGTTTGCCTTTACACCTAAGATATAATTCAATTAGGAGTCCAGTTGAATACCTGGAGGGTTAAACAGGTCCCACTCCACTTTGGTTTGCCCTAAATTCCAATTCTTGTCTCTTTGGTGCTATGAAGCTACTGAAAGCTCTACTCAGCTTCTCTGCTGGAGTTTTCTCCTCAACTTCTTGGTATCCCTGTACCAATTTTTGAATTAGAAAATGTCTTGAGGGTATTAAAGGTTCTGTTCTTATTGAAATTCTGGCTCCTCAAATTTTTTCATTTAAGCACCTAAGGGTGAATATTTCAGTAATAAGGAGGAATCTGTGGCTCTGATTTAGTGAGTGAGATAGAGACTAGTGGAAAATGAGCCTGAAAAATTGAGAGAATGCTGATCATATATAGTTTCACCAGTTATGATCTCATAGGAATTTGGATCTTAATATATTTGCAATGAGAAACTATATAAATTTTAAACAAAGCAGTGATATTATTCGATGTACACTTAAAAAAAATTACTCTGGCATCTGTATGAATAATGGATCATAACAGGGCAATGGTGGAAGTAAGGAGACCAATTAAGGGTTGATAAAGTATTCCAGACAAGAGATGACTATCTTGTGGTGGTAGCAACAGAGACTGTGAGAAGTGCTTGTATTTAGAATATATTCCGGAGATAGAGCAGACAAGACCACCTAATGGGTTGGCCAGAGTATGTGAGGGAAAGTGGATTCTAAAGAATTTGAATTTGGGGCACCTGGGTGGCTCAGCCGTTGAGTGTCTGCCTTTGGCTCAGGTCATGATCTCAGGTTCCTGGGATTGAGTCCTGCATGGGACTTTCCGCAGGGAGCCTGCTTCTCTGCCTGTGTCTCTGCTTCTCTTTCTGTGTGTCTCTCATGAATAAATAAATAAAACCTTAAAAAAATTTTTGGATTTTAGCCAGTAAGCAACGGGGACTCAAAGTTCGGAAGTGAGTGACATAATTACAGTAGAATAGATTAGGATAGTTATCTTGAAGCAGTAAGAAAAACGAATTCTTTAGAAAATAAAATAGAAGGTAGAGGTAAATTTGGAGTTGTCAAATAATACTCTAGAAGTGACAGGCACTGACCTAAGGTGATGACAAAAGGAATGGCAAAAAGTGATGGATATAAAGGCAACAATCAAGTTTGTGGAGATATAATTTGCGTTGCCACTGGGCACTAGGACTTAGCAAAGAAATCTGGGCTAGAAATATTTGGGAGTCATCAGAATATAGCTATTCTTTAAAGCTATGTGAGTGATTGAGATCACCCAGAAAAAGGTGACAGAGTGAAACGGGGCCTAGACTAGGAACTGGCAAAAGAGACTAAGAGTGACCAGAACAAAAGGAGACAAATTAGGAGAATGTGGCATTATGGATGCTGATGGAAGCATTTTAAGGAGTATTTATAACTGTTACATAAGGGCTAAGAAGTGTTGTTTGGGTTTGGCAAGATAGAGATCATGGCTATCTTGGTCAGAGCTGTATCCATTTAGAGGTGGAAGGAGAAGCCAGACTCCAGGTATGTAAGGTGTCTGAGATATGAGGAAGCACTGATCATCAACATAGATAACATGTATGAAATTTCTGGCTTTGAAGCAAAGAAGAGAAGTAGCTAGAGGACTAACTAGAGTGGAGGGAGGGAATCTTTAGAATGGGAGAGACAGTGGCATGTTTCAATAATGATGTGAAGGAGACAGTAAGGAGAAAGAGGAGGAAGCTACTGGAAGGGGTGAGTGATTGCAGGTCTCTAAAAAGGAAGATGCTAATGAGATCCAGAGCACAGGAAGAGTGTTAGCCATTTGTGGGAGGAAGTATACTTCTCCCAGTTGCAGGAGGCAAAAATATGCCTGGGTGCAGTTAACAGGGGTGGTGTTCAGGGGCGGAGGGATATGATGGGTTCTATTTTCTCTTTGTGAAGAAAGAAACAAACCATCCAATCAAAAGTGAGGGGAAAAGTGAAGCAGATTGGATTCTGAGGAGAGTAGAGAAGGACTGAAATAGCCATTATAGAGAATGGGTAGGTAATTTTTCTAGAGCCATATAAGATTGCCAGGCCATGCTGAAGATTCAGTAAAATGATTTCTGCAATTTTTGTGTTTAAATATTCTATGATAATATTCAGGTTAACTCATAATCGACATCATGGCAATCCCAAAGCCTCAGATGCCTATTTCACAAAGAATTTCTGCATGTTTGACATGAACTCATAACTTTAAATTTATGGAACAGCTTATAAAAAGCTCTTTTGCCAAAGACCCAGTCTCTCATTTCTGAAGTTCTCTTTCTTCTACTCCCATAAACTTAATTTCATTATTTATCTACATTGTTTTTTTTCGGAAGCAAAATTTAATCTGATAGGGAATAGATGTGAACATAGATACAATGTTAGCTATAGCACAAATTGCCGTGAGCAAAGTCTTATAAGAGTAAAAAAAAAAAAAAGCAACCATGTCCATTTGATCAACTTAAATAAGTGACATCAAACTGTCTAGAAATCAAATATAATTTGTCGCAATTATATGTTCATTTCATTTTTATTTTTATCTTTGCTATTTGCCTCACATATATAAGACATTTACTGATGCTTAGTGAAAAAAAGTGAAATGAACATTTCAGGGATTTCTAAGCATTTGGTACATATTGATAAACCATAAAATAATCAAGTGCAAATAACTGAAAGACAATGTGAAAATCATAACATTAGTAAAGGTAACTGCTACCCCATCACAGCAATTGTATTAACAATGTCCAGAGACAATATTGATAAATTTAAGAATAGGGAAGGGGAAGATGAGAACTTTTTAGAGGAGTTCAGTTCTTTCATAGAAATAGGGTAATTTTCTTTTTTTTTCAACATAATTGTGAAATAAAATACTCTCATCATTATATGTCTTTAGTTGTCATTGCCATATGAATAATATTTGCCCCCAAATTCTCCCAGAATATAATAATAACAGTTAACAGAAAGAATGAAAATAACTAAATCTTTCTTTAAAATGTAGAACATGGGAACCCCGGGTGGCGCAGCGGTTTAGCGCCTGCCTTTGGCCCAGGGCTCGATCCTGGAGACCCGGGATCGAATCCCACGTCGGGCTCTCGGTGCATGGAGCCTGCTTCTCCCTCTGCCTATGTCTCTGCCTCTCTCTCTCTCTCTCTCTGTGACTATCATAAATAAATAAAAATTAAAAAAAATAAAATGTAGAACATGTTTAGGATTTGACAATGGTATGGGTTAAACAGCTGTTACTTGAAACCTTAAAATAATGTTTTGTTACTCTGCAGGTTAATTTCCTAATTGGTAAATGACAAGAGGTTAGATTAGATCATCTCTGAAGGAAGTTCCCACTCATATTTCTGATTGAAAAGCATCTGATCACAGAGACCATCAGCTACTTTAGGAATATAGTACATAGTATACAGTGTCCATGTTAATAAAAGAAATCTTCTGACACAGTAAGTTTCCTTTTAGGTATAGCTTACTTCTTTATTCAGACTAACAAGTTGGGAATGATTTTCATAGTTAATTTTAGACATTTCCATATCCATCATAAGTTTAATTTTTTTTACCAAACTATATCATGAATGTTATTAGAGTTTTTCCAAAATAAAATTCATTTTATAATCATCATATCACGGCCTAATTTTTTTTCTTCCTTTAGATGCCTATGGTTTGAGAAATAATATAAATTCTTACCTCTAAGAGATAAGGTTCCATTTGATCCAGAGTTTTTCCAAGATGCTTATCTGGATCTAAACCTGCCAAGAAAGATTAATTTTTTTTTTAAGATAACTATCAGATTGTAAGTCTAAAGACACATTACCCTTCCCTTTGCCTCTCCTTGCATAGGAAACCAGTATGTGTATATTTTAAATTGCTTTGATCCTAAAGTAAGACGTATTTTGCTAGTATTTATTTTTCTATTTCCCTTGGGTAACTGGTTTTCTTATTCCTGAAAAATAAGTTTCATATCAAATCACTTGATTGCACTGTGTCAACTTCCAGATTCATGGTTTTAATTCATTTTTGAGCAACTGTAATTTGAATGGAAAAACAGGTATCATTTCAAAGATACCTTGGTATTTTAACTATTATTTTACATGGACAACAGTTTTATGTATCTCTGTTTTATCTAAACATCAAAATTCTTAGAGAATAAGAGTAGAAAATAGAAGAGTAGTAGACCAATATGCTTATATAATTAATTCACTTCATAGGACACCATATGGATACAAATAATTGTCTTATCAAATTAAATGACATTTCATTTCTTTTTTTTTAATTTTTTTATTTATTTATGATAGTCACAGAGAGAGAAAGAGAGAGAGGCAGAGACATAGGCAGAGGGAGAAGCAGGCTCCATGCACCGGGAGCCCGACGTGGGATTCGATCCCGGGTCTCCAGGATCGTGCCCTGGGCCAAAGGCAGGCGCCAAACCGCTGCGCCACCCAGGGATCCCTGACATTTCATTTCAATGACCACTTGTGTGATAATGTATTTTCCAAGCCAAGATGGAGACAACTCTAAAAAATCATTATTGAACCAAGAGCATATGTGCACAATCTTAGATAAGGATGTTCAACTATGTAGTACAATTTATGTAGGTAATAAGGTATAAGCAGAGAAGTATGGGCAACAAATTCTTTCCACATACCAAAACTAACTTGTCAGGGAAGAAAAAGTCATATCACAAATCTGTTATGAAATGAAAGAATTTATTTTAGATATTATATCTACAATACATTTATATATTTACATTCATAATACATGTACTGGTTAACCTCATTTAAATAAGTTATTTTTATTTTTTATTGGCTTACATTATTTAGAATACATAAACTGATGAATAATTTTCTGCTTCTAGGTGGATGCCTTTTTTTGGTAACATGATATTTCTTATCATCGCATATCAGAAGAAGGGAAGTCAGGCGAAGGTTGAGAACTCTTCCGTCACTGAGTATTTTTAGATGAAACTCAGAGCAAACAACTCAGACCAGTAGTACTAGATAGATTCTTTGTGTCAACACCCTTCACAGCCATCTTATTCTTATGGTATATTCACTAAAATTATAAGTACAAGGGGATGGGTAAACATGTAGATGAACTAGTCCCTGACTGTCCAGTTCCTTTACTTCTACCATCACTTAGCAATTCAGTATTTAGAATAAGTAAATGAAATACATTGAAAGAAATAACCATGTAGTCAGATTTAATAAGCATCAATGTCATGCCATATTTCCTCTACACATTTTTTAAAGAAATAAACACTACCATCACAATAGAACATCACCATATATCTACTCTTAATCTATATCCTCTACCCTCTACATGGTAACCACTCTTTTGAAGTTGGTGAGTTACTAATTATGCTCTTATAATTTTAACAAATGTATATATCAAAACAATATTTAGTATTGTTCATGAATATTAAATGTTTAAATGAATGATATAATCTTTAACTTGATTTTTTTCAATTCGCATTGTTAATGATATTTACTTACATCAATTACTATGGCTCTGGTCCATTCATTTTTTCTATTGTATTCTATTCCATTATATGGATATACCAGAATTTAATTCTATATTTTCCAGTAGATGGGTATTTGGGCACATGATACCATATATAGAAAGCTCTACAGACTCCACCAAATAACTGCTAAAATTGATATATGGATTTAGTAAAGTTGCAGGATACAAAATTAAAACACAAATAATCTGCTGCATTCCTATACACTTATAATGAGATAGCAGAAAGAGAAATTAAGAAAATAATCCCATTTATAATAGCACCAAAAAGAATAAAATACCTATGAATAAACTTAACAAAGGAAGTAAAAGATCTATACTTCAAAAACTATAAAGCAATGATGAAAGAAATTGAACATGATACAAACAAATGGAAAGATATTCCATGACCATGGTTTGGAAGAGCCAGTACTGTTAAAATGTCCATACTACCTGAAGCAACCTACGAATTTAATGCAATCCCTATCAAAATACCAGTAACATTTGCCACAGAACTAGAACAGATAATCCTAAAATTTATATGGAACCATAAAAGACCCCAACTAGCCAAAGCAATCTTGAGAAAGAAGAACAAAGCTGGAGATATCACAATTCCAGATTTCAAGATACACTACAAAGTTTTAGTGATAAAAGCGGTATGGTACTAGTACAAAAGAGAGTTATATAGACCAATGGAACACAGATCTATAGTTACATACATCAAGGGAACAGATTGGAGAGCCCAGAAATAAACCCATAAGGTCAATAATGTCAATTAATCTATGACAAAGGAGGGAAGAATAAAGAATATACAATGGGGAAAAGACAGTCTCTAACAAATGGTGCTGGGAAAACCAGATAGTTATATGAAAAAGAATGAAACTGGACACTTTCTTACACCATATACAAAAATAAAATGGATTAAAGACCTAGATGTGAGATGTGAATTCATAAAACTCCTAGAAGAAAAGTAATTTCTTTGACATCAGCTATAGAAACATTTTTCTAGTATGTCTCCTAAGGAAGGGAAAACAAAAGCAAAACCAAACTACACCATTGGACTACACCAAAATAAAAAGCTTTTGCATGGTGAAGGAAATCATCAACAAAACAAAAAGGGAAGTACCAAGTAGGATATCTGCAAATGCTAGATCTAGTAAGGGGTTAATATCCAAAATATATAAAGAACTTTCACGATTGAACACCAAAAAACCCCCACAAATAATCTGATTTAAAAATGGGCGAGAACCTAAATGTGCATTTATTTCGAAGACATAAAGATGGCCAACTGACAGATGAAAAGATGCTCAACATCATTCATCATCAGGGAATTGCAAGTCAAAACCACAAGGTATCAATTTACACCTGTTGGAATAGCTAAAATAAAAGACACAAGAAATAAGTATTTGTGAGCATGTGGAGACAAAGGAACCTTTGTGTATTGTTGATGGCACTACTAAATGGTGCAGCCACTGTGGAAAACAAAATCGAGGTTTCTGAAAAAATTTTATGTATTTGAGATCTATGTTGTTATGTGCATATACAGTTGCAATTTCTAAAACTTTTTTATAAGATTATTCCTTTTATCAAGTAATGACCTATTCATCTCCATATGATTTTTATCTAATATTCTAATTACCAATATTATAACACCAGCTTTACATTGTTAATACTCTACTGGCATATACTTTTCCATCATTTATTCTCAAATTTTCTCTGTGCTTTTGTTTTAGATGCCACTTATAAACTACAAATAATTGGATTTTAAAAAATTTTATCCTATCTTATAAAGACAACTCTAAGAAATGGAGTTTAATTATTTTACATTTTTAACATTTTATGTTACATGTCTGGACCTGTTTCTATCATCTTATAGATTTCCTGTTTTATTAAGCTTATTTATTAAGCTTTATTTGTTCCTTATTTTCTGCCTCATGCTGTATTGAAAGGATTTTTGTGTTTGCTTCTTATGAATCTTAGAATATAAATTTAACAATGTGTTTAGCACTCTTTTGAGAGAATTTACCATGTTTTCACTAGATATTAAATAAGTCCCACTGTTTCAGTTGTTATTACTGTGTTAACTTTTAGTTCCATCATTTTTGTCGAGAAAAATTAAGCCCACCCACATATTTTATAATGTCTGTTTTCACAATTGTTTCTTATTCATTTCTCCTGGAATTCAGTCTATTTCTCTGAAATCTATTTTTATTTTTTTACTGAAGATCTGTAAGTGGTAAAATCTCGTAGGTTTTAGATGTCTGACAATGTTCTATTTCACTCTCATTACAATAATAGTTTAGTTGCAATATATTAATTACTTTTTTAGAAATTAGTCATTCCTAATAAGATTTATGCAGTATAATAGTGGTTCCCATACAAGGAATATTTTTTTTTGTGCTAAATTGTACTTTTCAATGTACTTGTGACATTCTGTAATTTTAATATAATGTGTGTAGGTGTTTACTTTTATTTATACTGTATATTACCTAATATACACTTTGAATTCTCAAATTTATATTTTTCTTCAAGTCTAGAAAATTTTCAGTCCTTGTATCTGCAAATATTTTTCTGCCTTTCCTTCTAATTTTTTTCTGAAACATCTATTACACAAATATTGCAATTTCCCAATCTATCCTGCATATTTTTAAATTGCTCTTTAATTTTTTTTCCTGTCTATGTTGTCTTTTGGGTCAATTATTTTTTCCTGCTTCATTCATTCTCTATTTTACTTGGCTCACCTACAGTTTATTCTGCCCACTGAGCTTTTTTTTTTTTTTTTAAGTGAACTATATGCTTCATTTCTAGTATTTCTAAATGGTTACTTTTCACATCATCTTGATGCTGTTTCATTGTGATTTATTTTTCTAATTGACTGTTTTTCTTTAATATTTTATTTTTCTTTATCTCTTTGAAGTTCTTCCTCAAATGGTACACTTTCAGTCTCTGCTTTCCCCCAGGATTGAAACCTCCCAATTGCTTTTGCCTGCTTCCTAACCCTTTGTATTACAGCCCCATGGTTAAGTGTATTGCTTATTGCTTACTATTTTGTGTATACTTAATTCTATTTCACAGAGATGTTTATAATGTTTTCTAGTACAGCTATGTCCTTATGTCCTTACTTTTCCTTCATTTATTCATCATCTATTATTGCAGGCTTGGGGTGGGAATGTGGAAAACTTAATTTTTTTTAAAGATTTTATTTATTTATTCATGAGAGACAGGCAGAGACATAGGCAGAGGGAGAAGTAAG